GGAAGGTTTCAAACTGAGGGATGCCCGGTGGCTCCTCCTCGAGCTCCGTGGGTGAGCGAAGGGGTCCAGTGTGAGTGCAGCCCTCCTGCCTCTGAATTTTCCAAGAAAAGCTTGTGCTTGCCGGGAAGAAGTGTTCAGGATTTCAAGACAAGTAACCCATATAAGTTTTGTTTTCTTTTCTTTTCTTTTTCTTCACCCTTACTTAGAGTTGCATGCTCTTGGCACATGTGCTTTCGCATGGCTTTTAAAAGTCACCATCTATTCTATCCCATCCTATTAGGGTTCATCTATCTAATTTTTATAGATGGGATTCAAGACAGTTTTTTTGTGAGGGAAAGAGGGTAGTTTGAGCTCTGAAATCTTGATTCAGTGCAATAACTTGGTAATTGTTTTGATTTGCAAACTGAAAAGGTAGTAATATTTGCTACTGAAGTGAACCTCCGCTCCTGCCCCAATAAGGAGTAGGAAATTTGGTCTGAAATTCTGACCCTGAAGCTCAGGGAAGGGAAGTAGAGAGCTGGGAGGATAAACGGTGTGCAGTCAGTGATTGCTTTACTGACTAAAATCAGTGTGTGGAAGTAAAGGGGAACTTATGTTTAACATATATTAAAACATTTTCCAAGTACTAATCGCATAAACAGTGTAACAGCCGATATGTAGTGTAAATTGTGTTAGTGTTCAGAGGTTTAAACAATTACTAGTTTTATTAGAAGTTACTGCTTGGATGTTTGGGTTTTTTTTATTATTAGTGCTTGATCTTAATTAATTGGAAAAAAAATGCCCTATGTGACTACAGATCTTGATATCAGCAGCTTTTTAAAAGCAAAAAGCTAATCAGTCCATTGATAAAAGACAAACTAATATTAGTTGTGGGACCAGGATATTAACACAGGAAACGTGGTCACTAAAAGTCAGCCTACTGATAACAAAACTAGTTCATATAATAGTGTTAATCTCTTCTGATATTCTAAAAGCTTCTCAAGGAATTCATTTGGTATCTTTTTCTGGAATTTTCTACTGTACATCCTTCATTGAAATTTGGTAGGGGAAGACTAAATGCTGAATACTTGGTAGTTTTGAAGTCTTTGTAGTAAAATTTAGTACGTGTCATATAGAAAAGTGTCTCTGAAGAAGGTGGTAGCATGGCTGAAGTTCAGAAGACCTAAAAGCTGACTCCTGTTCTTCCTTAAAGTGAATGAGATATCATTCATATTTTTAATTTGCCCCGATTTCTAGTTAATCGGTATCACCATTTGTAGTGAGTTTCCTTACAATTAATCATGAAATATTAAATTAGGAACATGCTTCTCTTAATTTCAATTCATGTATCGAGGGCTTTTAGTGTATATGAGTAAAGCATAATGACAGACCAAGCACTTCCTGCTCAAAGCCCTACGAGCTGTAGGTTGTAAAACATCCAGAGAAGCAGACCAGGTAGAGAGCGACCAGGTAGGAAGGATTGTCAGCAGGCAAAAAAAAAGTTGCATCTAAGAATTAATCCCTCTCCCCCACGCACACAGCTGAGAGAGTTATTTAGGTAGTCTCAGAAGTGAGGAAATGCTCATTTTCTGGTTGTCTCTGCGCTGGATGAGGCAGGGCTGGTGCGACAACGATACCTACCGTGTAATTAGCCAGGGTGCCATCGCTGTGCGTGCACAAGGGGCAGAGCTAAAGTTGCAGGGTGGCTGCACGCCCCGCGTTTCCTCACATCCCCGTGCTCGGTTTCACAATCCCAGTGACTCTCATACGGGGTTTTGAACCTATTTTCTTCGTCACCGGGGAACCAGAGCCCTGCCTGGTGCAAGGGGTGGCATCGCCATCCCTGGTGCTTTGGTCCAAGCCCTGCCCTGGAGAGGTGAGTCATGGGTTTGGGTTAGGACAGTCAGGGGGGGTCTGAGAGGAGTGAGGAGGCAGCACAGCCCACCCCAGGGAGAGCAGGGATGAAGTGATAGGGTTCCTTCTTCCTCCTCCTCTTCCTCCTCCTGCTGCAGCTCAGTCTGCTGCGAGGCCAGCAGAAGGATCCTCTCTGCAGGCTCTCAAAATCCTTGGTACTGGCTGGTGGTGTTGGCCAGGTGCGTGGAGGAGGCGAGGGAAAGAGCAGCTTCTCCGAAGGTGCGCTCTGTCTCAATGTGGGTGGGAATTCAAGGGAGAAAGGAAGAGGCGCGTTTGTAGCCTTAAGGCTTCTGTGTGCAGAAGGGTTTTCAGCAAACCAAAGCGGCGCTAGTTGGTTTAGCATGGAAAGTTCGGCGAGCTAAAAAAGAGCATTTCCATCAGCTGCACTTGTAACAAGCTGCAGCGCTTCCCAAAGGCAATGAGGTGCCTCATTCCCAGTGGATTTTGTTCTGCAGGGTGCTGGTGTCTTCAGTTTGGCTTAGAGTTGAAGCTCTTAGAGTTGAAGCTGCTCTGGATTTTTGCCAAGCCTAGGCTATGAACGCTGTGTTTTCGGCAAGTGAGGGAAAAACTACCTCCTCTTATAGAAAAGCGAGAGATGTGGGGATTTTGTTGGTTTGGTTTTTGGGGGGGGGGGGTTTGTTTTGTTTCTTTTTTTCCACAGGGCAAGTTATGCTGTATAGCACTTGACGAGAGGCAGGGATGATTAGCAGTTTATACTTGAGCTATTAAGACAGCTGAAGTGTGGTTTACAGCATTATAATAAAGGCTCTGTTATGCTGGCATATCCTTAACTGTGTTAGTGCTACTCTGTGCTGCTATTGCCAAGTGCCAGATCCATCTCAAAACAATGGCAAAGCTGTGACATACATAAAAGTGAAGGGTGGGGTGAGTCTGTAACACTCCCTTGCTCTAAAATAACTTGCATTTTATCAGTCCCTGATGAACTTTTTATGATCCAAGGTGTGTCATACTAATTTTAAATATTAAAGACACATCGGCTCTTTTATTAGAGTGGCTTTCAGGAACTGCCACGTAATTGCAAAGGAAACTGTAAGATTTAATGAAATGCCAGGAACCTCTGTACTTCCTCAAGACACCGTGTCATGGATTGAAATGGAGAGATCTGAAAGCAATAGTAATACATGCTGATATGAAATATTTTGTCAATGCACAGTCTGACGCTATGGCACGGTTACATCATTGCACATTACACCACTTTGTCTTTCAAAATCATGACTTTTTGTTGGATTGCATACCTTGGTGCTGTTGATATGCACAGCTCTGGAATTAGGCAGCATTACCATGTTGAATCAATAATTTATCCTGGCAACTTAAAAGGAGTCACTGAATGAATCACAGCAGAGGGCATGCTAGCAGTCAGAACATTGCCCCCCTCAGGAAAAAAAAACAAAACAAAAAAAACCAAAACAAAAATTAACCCCCAAAAAAAGGTCTAGGCCCAGAAGTATATCTTCAGAACAAATCCAATAAACTGCTTGCCCTGCATCTCTCATTCTGCTTCTAAACAAACAGCTGTGTTTAAATAAATATGTTTAGTCTTGGTAAACCTGTCTTCAGTTTTTCATTCAAGACGTTCAGGAAGTGCTGCAAAATGCCAGCCGTAGTTCAGAGAGGAAAACATCTTTTCTTGGGAATGTTCATCAATGGCAGAAAACACACCGGAGAAGCTTGCACACGTACATTTTTTGGGGGATATTCCCTTGCAACAATATGAAAAAGTCAGATTGTTTCTTCCTCCCCCAGCCAGCCAGTCTTAGCACCCGGGGATTTCTGGGCTTGGGCGCCGGTGCAGCTCCTGAGGAGCAGGGAAGGAGCGGTGCCATTGCTTTCAGGCTGCCTGCAGGGATGCTCCTGGTGTTTCTCTCCTGCTCTCTTCCCCTGGGTTTTTGTGGAGGAGGTTGCATCCATATTTAACTAATGGCTTCCTTCTCCTTCCCGATCCCGGCCAGGCCCCTGGCGAAGGGCTTGTTGCTGTCACGGTGGCTCAGCTGGTGGTGTGGAAGGAATGGAGGAGCATCAGCCCGCAGTCGTGCTGTGCTGTGGCTTGGCTTTTTGGTGTAGCGGAGTCAGCCCCGGCGGGTGCCAGCTGCCAGCACTGTGCACAGGGACGCTGTAGGCCTCAAGTTGTCCTTGCATGTGACTGTTTGCACAAGAAGCGTTTTCCTGTGCAGATATTGAGGTGCAGATTGCCAAGTCTTGCCTTATCGCCACACTCATCTCTAGAGTGTCACCCCCTCCCGACTTCTGTAGCCTTTTGAAGAAAGTACAGCAAAATTATTTTCCAGCTGATGTGGATAATAACATTTATTAGTGCTTCCCTGTCCGCTTTTCCTGTAATTATAATGCGCTGTTATTCCAGGAACCACAATTGTGAACTAGTAGTTCAGGAGATGGCTTTGATTTCAGAACGACGAGGACAGGAAAGGTGTCAGAGGCATATTGTTGATCTGCATGTAGGTTCAAACTCCTTTTCCTTTCATTTCAGTCAGAAAACATCTTTACATTTCAGAGGAGCAGATTAATGCCATAATTTGCATCACAGATTTTTTTTATTAGTTTTTGTTTTTAAAGCAAACCCTGGAACAGTTAGATTGAGCCAACAAAACCTCTTTCAAAATAAACAAACAATAAAACCTTTGCTCCTTCAGTATCAAGTTTCAATTGAAACAAATGTTAACAGTGAAGTTCAGTAGCTCTTAGGCAAGAGGATGTTGGGCCAGCCCGAACTATAACTTCAGAGGCAGGAAAACACTATAGCAGATGACCAGTTTGTGTGACAGTAATGGATCAGCTCTGTGGTGGTGGTTACGCTCTCTGGACCCAGAATTACGTAATTCCAGAAGCAAGATTTACGCAGATCTTCTAGCTCAGTCTCACAGCAGAATATGATACATTAAAACCCTTCTTAATTTTTGACATTCTGATGGGTTTCTTGTAGGTACACTTCCTGCAAATCTCATCTTTAAATTTGCAAATGTAATTAGTAAGGTAGGTTTCTTGATACGTTTGCAGAAACGCTGATTTCACATAGTTAAGTGTGGTCAAACTTGTGCTTTCTCATTGTATCTTTATCTTACTGCCTTTATCAGGTACTCATTAATGAGTGAAGGATCAAAAGGTGGGACGGTGGCCAAGAAGCAATGGAGAATAAAAGTTTAGAAGGTTCCCCATCAGACCTAAAGTTAGTGGCTCACCCAAGAGCAAAGAGTAAAGTGTGGAAGTACTTCGGGTTTGATACCAATGCAGAAGGATGCATATTGCAGTGGAAGAAGATCTACTGCCGTATTTGCATGGCACAGATTGCCTATTCAGGAAACACATCCAACCTTTCCTACCACCTTGAGAAAAATCACCCAGACGAGTTCTGCGAATTTGTGAAAAGCAACACCGAGCAAATGAGGGAAGCCTTTGCCACCGCATTTTCCAAAATCAAGCCGGAGTCGTCGCAGCAGGTCATTCAAGATAGCCTCATCATGAAGACCTACCAGAACTACGAAAACAAAAAACATCAGGACCTGACATCTGCAGTCATCAGCCTGATCTGCGAGGGCATGTATCCGGCCTCTATTGTTGATGAACCCACCTTCAAGGCCCTCTTGAGAACGGCAGACCCCAGGTATGAACTTCCTAGTCGAAAGTACTTCTGTGCGAAAGCTATTCCCGAAAAGTACAATGCCACTAGAGAAATTGTGCTGAAGGAGCTCACCGGGATCCTGTGGTGTGGCATCTCCACGGACATGTGGAGGAGCGAAAACCAGAACAGGTCGTACGTGACTGTCGCGGTTCACTTTCTCAGCAGCAGCCCTGCCAACTGCTTGGTGGTGAACTCGCGGTGTTTAAAAACGTTTGAGGTGTCGGAGGATAACACCGCCGAGACTATCACGCGAGTCCTGTATGAAACGTTCATCGAGTGGGGGATCAATACAAAAGTCTTTGGTGCTACAACAGATTACAGTAAAGACATTGTGAAAGCTTGCTCTCTCCTAGATATTCCCGTACAGATGCCTTGTTTGGGGCACACTTTTAACGCAGGAATACAACAGGCTTTTCAGCTCCCTAAGCTCTGCAGCCTTCTTGCCAGGTGCCGCAAGCTGGTGGAGTACTTTCAGCAGTCTACGGTTGCCATGTACATGCTGAGCGAGAAGCAGAAGCAGCAGAATATCCTCCACTGCATGCTGGTGAGCGACCGTGTTTCCTGGTGGGGAAGCACGCTCGCGATGCTGCAGCGCCTCAAGGAGCAGCAGTTTGTCATTGCGGCTGTCCTGGTGGAGGACAGCAACAACCACCACCTCATGCTGGAAGCCAGCGAGTGGAATACAATCGAAGGGCTGGTGGAGCTGCTGCAGCCTTTCAAGCAGGTCGCAGAGATGATGTCTGCTTCAAAGTACCCCACGATAAGCATGGTGAAGCCACTTCTCCACATGCTTCTCAATACTACCCTGAACATCAAAGAGAACGATTTGAAAGAAATCAGCATGGCAAAGGAGGTGATTGCTAAAGAGCTGTCAACCACCTACCAGCACACGCCTGAGATAGACATGTTTCTCAACGTTGCAACTTTCTTGGATCCCCGCTACAAAAAACTGCCATTTCTTTCAGCCTTTGAGCGGCAGCAGGTTGAAAACAGAGTGGTGGAAGAAGCGAAAAGCCTGCTGGAGAAAGTAAAAGAAAATACCTTTAGGACTGAAGAAAAACTCTTCGCTGTTTCAGAAGAGCCCCCTGTGAAAAAAATCATCATCTCTTCTACTCCTCCTCCTACCAGCGTCATCAACAACATGCTCGCAGAGATCTTTTGCCAGACGGGAGGTGTGGAAGACCAGGAGGAATGGCACGCTCAGATTGTTGAGGAGTTGAGCAACTTCAAGACACAAAAGGTCCTCGGTTTGAACGAAGACCCGCTGAAGTGGTGGTCTGACAGACTAGCGCTGTTTCCAGTTTTACCAAAGGTTCTTCAAAAATACTGGTGTATTTTGGCCACAAGGGTTTTCCCTGAACGCCTTTTTGGTTCTTCTGCTAATGTTGTAAGTGCAAAGAGAAACCGGTTAGCCCCAGCTCATGTGGATGAGCAGATCTTTTTGTATGAAAACAGTCGGAATGGGTCCGAGGCAGAACCGGAGGATGAAGATGAAGGAGAGTGGGGTTTGGAACAGGAACAGATTTTTAATTTAAATGACTCGGTAAATGTAAACAACAATTTCTTTAATATCCGAGACAGTGGGTTTTTTTAACAGAACTGCTGCGGTACATTTAATAACAAACAAACAAACAAAAAGGTATTTGTCTTAAGTTACCAAAAATACTTCTGTTTTATGCTATGAATGCTGTAAATATTGAATGGTTGTAACAAACTTGATTTAGCTTCCATTGTCTATGTTTTTCCCACTGTCTTAAAACATGAATGACTTGTGATTAAACAGCACTGAAATGAATGAGGAAATAAATTCGACAAAGACCGTGATTTCTGATTGTGGCCCAGATTTCAGAAAGCACTTACCCATGTGCTTCCTTTCCGCTCACTTCAGTGGGAGACAAACACATGCTTATGTGCTTTCTATCATAAAAATGTTTTCCTGAATTAGGACCCTAAGCGAGGGAGTTTCTAAGATTTATGCCTCCATTTGTAAATCCTGTGTGACTCAGGATGTTAGCTTTAAATTTTGGATTTTAAAACAATATGTTTAAAATCCGTAAATCTGAGCAGCAAAGATTTTTAGAGTGTAATGATGCTATGGAATGAAAAAAGATCTTGAGCCTGATTTTCTTTTTCACTACCTCATGTCTTAGGCCTGGTCTATGCTAGAAAAGTTCAGCTGGTATAATTCTGTCAATTAGGGGACTGATGTGTTATTATTTTAACTGATACTGTGCTGGCATAGGCTGTAGTGTGGATGCACTTATACCGGGTTAAGTTATTTTTTCTTTCCAGTGTGCTGTAAATGGTATAAACACTTCTAAACTGGTATTTCTGTGTTCACATTAGTCTGGTTTTACCATTTAACTGCAGCAGCTAAATGGCAAACCCTTTTTTTTTTTTATTTTTTTGATGTCTAGGCAAGCCCTGATTGTAGTCTCTTGTGCTTTTACAAAGTGGTAGGGAAGCGTGCGTGGGGTTGGGCCAGCTTTGTGTTACCCTCTCTTGGTGCAAAGCGGGCAAGGCATCACGTCCCTCCACGGTGGGGGGAGAGAGAGGGCGGCGAGACGTGTAAGGGCCGCGGGTCTAACAGTCTGTCTGTGTTACAAAATCCTTAACCTCTTAATTTAAATGGGGACTTCGTCCAGGGTAGCTAGAAAATTTTTGTTGGCGAGAAGAGCAAAACAAAAAGCTTTAATATTATGTAAATATATTTAAAAGAAGGGGACCCCTACACTTCCCCACATGTATTTAGTGAGTCTTTAAGATTGTTTTTTATTATGTTAGCACTTAAAAACTTTTTTTTTTCCTTCTTGTCTTTTTTTGATTTTCAGTTTGTAGAGTGGACTTCAGTCCACTCCAGTCTAATGTTTGAGTACTGTTTTCCATTAGTTGTTGTGTATTGTAATTGTTCCCTTTGTGTCTCTATGCCTGAGTGTTCCAAACCCTTTTTAAGAACTTGGCAAACAAGGAAAAAATGAAAGAAAACCAACCCCGAGCTCCCTGTCTTTTATGAAATATTGCAGGTCATAAACAAGATTAGAGTTCACGCTTGGCATGGAGTGGGATGGCAGCCAGCATTTTGAGGTTCAGCAAGACCAAGTGCTGGGTTCTGCACTTGGGTCACACCAACCCCAGGCAGAGCTACAGGCTTGGGGAAGAATGGCTGGAGAGCAGCCTGGCAGAAAAGGACCTGGGGGTGTTGGTCTACTGTCAGCTGAACATGAGCCAGCAGTGTGCCCAGGTGGCCAAGAAGGCCAATGGTATCCTGGCCTATATCAGGAACAGTGTGGCGAGTAGGACCCAAGAGGTGATGCCTCCTGTACTCGGCACTGGTGAGGCCTCACCTTGAGTGCTGTGTCCAGTTTTGGGCCCCTTAACACAAAAAAGACATTGAGGTGCTGGAGCGGGTTCAGAGAATGGCAACGAAGCTGGTGAGGGGTCTGGAGAGTAAGTCTTATGAGTAGAGGCTGAGGGAGCTGGGGTTGTTCAGTCTGGAGAAGAGGAGGCTTAGGGGAGACCTCATCACTCTCTACAACTACCTGAAAGGAGGGTGTAGAGAAGTGGGGGTTGGTCTCATCTCCCAAGTCACAGGAGATAGGACAAGGGGAAATGGCCTCAAGTTGCACCAGGGGAGGTTCAGATTGGATATTTGGAAACATTTCTTCACAGAAAGGGTTATCCAGCATTGGAATGGGCTGTCCAGGGAAGTGGTTGAGGCACCATCCCTGGAGGTGTTCAGAAGACAGGTTAACATAGTGCTTAGAGACATAGTTTAGTAATGTGGGGGGTTCTTTTGTATGTTTTTTTTTTTTTTTTTTTTAAATCAGAGTTAGGTTGATGGTTGGACTATAGATGCTCTTAAAGGTCCCTTCCAACCTAGACAATTCTGTGATTCTATGATGTTTCCCTGAGGTGTGGGGAGGACTCTTGGCGTTGTCCAGTTACAGTTAAGGTTTGCTTGTGGTTTTGGTTTTGTTACTGGTGTCTGGCCCCCCCACCTTGGCTTTAGTCTACGGCGATGTGGAGGGTAACCTTCCTGGAACAAGGTCTATTGAAGATGGGCTGTTACTGTTCTGGAGGAAGAAAGTTGGTTTTTTTTTTTTTTCATCACTGTGGTACCCACAGACGTTTGGTTGTAGAAGGAGCCCATCCAGGAGGAACAGAAAAAAACATGAGAATTTGGATGGAATTGAATGTATTGCCCAACTGCTTGTTTATGTTTTGATTTAATAGTCTTTGCAAGTTTGAGGCCTCTGTGTTTTTGTAGGTGGTGGGAAGGGGTGGGTGAGTGGGTAGAACAGACAGAGGTTAGAGTAAAGGAGTAAATAGTAGCGAACTACCCAGGCAAGTTTAAGAAAAAATGCATTTAACAGGCGGTGTGGCCCGTGTTTGGCTGTCGGTAAGCCCGGGTTTTCACTCTCCAGCCCCCTGAAAAATTAATTTGCACTTGTAAAAAAGTACCCGCACAGTGCATCCCGGCGAGCGTCGCTGCTCCTAGGCGCGTAACTCCCGCAGGTGCGTAGCAGGGAACCTGCCAGGGCAGCCAAGCCAAGCAGTGGCAGGGAGCGCCATCCAGCAGGTCCCTTTTTGATGTTACCCGAGCTCTTGTGACACCCCTGTCTTGGCTTTCATGTCCCTTGAGTGCCAGCTGGTGTCAGTCGCGTCCGTCCGCGTGCACCACCTCCACCTGCTGCCACGGCGCGAGGAGCTGTGCGAATGCTGGTGGGAGGCCTGCGGGCCCTCTCTCACAGGAGTGTGAATTCAGAGCCCCTGCCCTCGCAGCCAAGGCCCAGCCCAGGGCACCGCTTCCCCCCTGCCCGCCGTGCGGCCGGCCCCTCTTGGCAGCATCCATCTCCCGTGTCCCATCTTCATCCTTCTAGGGCTAAACGTACGCCGTGACGCTTGCAGGCAGTTTTGCTGAGATCGGTGCGATGCACTACTCTCTTCCTTCCAGCTTCCTTTTATTTTTTGGTATCCAAAATCAAACTGTAGTCGGGTCAATTGATGTGTCTGAGTTCTTTAAAAAAAAAAAAAAAAAAAGAGAAGAAAAAAAACCCCAAGAAACCCACAAAGCCATTGTTAGTCCTACCCATTGTCTGTGAGATTTTTATTTAATGTTCTAAGCCTGGAATATTGTTAAATAAACCAGAAAAATAAGTTAGTTACTAGTTTATTTGTCTGATGTGTGTTCATATCTGCAGCACTTTATGACTTTGAACTCTTCTGCAACAAGGGGAGGTTATATTCTAAGGTTTTGAAGCTATGCATTTATTTTCCTTTTGAACCTGTAAGTTATTAAAAAAAAAAAAAAAAGCTGTACAAATCTTTTGGATTAAAAAAAAATGAAGATGAAAAATGTCAGAAGTTTATAGATGGTTTCTCTCGCTTAAATACGTGTGGTGTTTTTCATTTAATGACATAATTTTCTGTTGTTTAGTTGGGTGGAGAACCAAAGTTGCGGAGCTGTTTTAAATATTGCTACAACATGAATTAAGCTGTGGTGATACTGCCAAGGGTGGGCCCAGAACACATTTCCAAATTACGCTATTAAATCAGATTTATGTACATGTTTCTTGACAGCTAATTTGAATCCACAGCCTAATGTTTCCCTTTCTCTTCGGTACAGCTGAGACATCTTTTTGGAGGGGCAATAGAGGAACTTCAGCTTTTGAGTGCTTTCATGCTGGAAAAGTACATTTTTAAACAGGCTCTCGGAGTACATACTTTATGTCAAAAGAAGAGTTGCCTTTTGCCGCCAGCTAAGTATTTCCAATTCAGGATTAAAATACGATGGCCTAGACAAGGTTTTTTAGGGTTAACAAGCCAACTAAAGGGAGTTTTGTGTGACTGACCTACCTCTGCACACATTTCGCCTCTCTCTGCCATCAGGGATTACTGTGAAGACAAAAGGGAAACCCTGAACCAAACTTAAGTTGAAAAGGTGAATTTTTCCAGCAAACCATGTCTGAGGTGCCTCGCTTTAAATGAAGGGAATAAAGTTCTGGATTATTTGTGAAAAGGGTGTATTATTTTAAGTTTCTGTCGTAGCACTGTATTAGATTAATTTGGAGGGTTTTCTTTAATTAATGTCATGGTGGTCCAATTAGCTTTACAGCAGCATTTGTATGCAGGTGGAAATATTAAAAGCAAAAGAAACACTAATTGGTTATTTGTAATGTTTTATAGGACCTCTGAAAACTTAAAAGTGACGTGTAGTTCATGATTTTTTCCTTTTTGTGTGAGAGCTCAAAAGGAAGGGGCTGCCTGAGGACATCGTTTCTGAAGCGGGATTGAACACGGAAGTAGTTCATTTTACGTATTCCCTGACAACTGGGTAAAAGAAACTGTATGCTGGAAAAATTGCATTTTAGTCTCTTCGTGCTGTACTCCTTTCGGTGGTCACTGTTTCTGAGGGTCCTTCTCAGAGGATGATGTCTTTCTGAAGGTCTTGGTGATCCCACTTGGTGGTACAGTGCTGCATAGGCTAGGCTGTCTTTTTGGCTATGCTGAGAAGACTGTCTTGCTTTGGCTCCTGCTTTTGTTTATGTTTTGTGGCTTTTTTTTTGTTTGTTTGTTTTTTGGTGTCTTGTTTATGTTTTGTGGCTTTTTTTTTGTTTTTTGGTATCTGAATGACTAGTCATCTGCCAAATTAAAGATATGTTTTATTTTTAGGGGATACAGGCAAATTGCAGAATTGTTTTTTCTTTTTTCATAACATTATTATTTGGTGCTGTAGAGAGAATTTAAAGATACAGTGTAATTTTACATCTGCCTTAAAAGCACATCATTAAAGCATGTCTAATGACTTGATGTTACTTAAACTGGAATTTCTAAACATCCCTACAGTTGCTGTATAATGCTGTCATCTTTACATACAAAAGCATTTCCTTTAGGTTGAACAATAAAAATCAATTAAATAGATTTTTACTGTTTCTACAGTCATTTTCAGTGTCCCTGCAGTTGGGTTAAGAAACCACAAGGGAAGTGAATTTACTGTAAAAAAAAAAACAAACACCCTAAAACACTGTCTTTCAGTTTACCTTGTGTTTTAAAACTTTTTAAGTCCTAAAACTTGATTTATACCTTTTTAAAAATGCAAAGACTGTTGCAGAAACTGTTTTCAAGTGAGAGTCCCTCTGACTCTGAAATGTTAATATTGTGATTTTTGAGCATTCATGTTGACATTTCCGTGCAGGGTGGCGTTGATTTCCCTTGCTGCCAGAAGAAAAGGTTAGTGTCCACAGAGGCGATGCTGCCGGCTGCAACGCTTTGAAGTGGTGATCTGATAAATCTTGGTTTTTTTTTCAGAGATGTTGAAAAGACTCTCACCTGCAGCACACGTGTGCTGGTTTCCATGTGTTACAATTAGTACTTATTTCCAGTGGCTTGAATTTGCAAAATCCTACTTTATCTCTGCCCTCCTCAGCCCTGTCTCCTCTGCCTGGGCAGAGCTCCAGGTGGGAGCAGCAGGGAGGAGGAGGAGCCCTGATCCCCGGCGTGTTTTTCTTCTCTTACAGAGACATTGTTCTTAGAGAACAGGTTAACTCCATGTAAAATGAGTTTAAACTGGGTCCTTATTCCTGTCTGCTCGGGCTGCAGTGCCTGTGCCGTGCTGCAAAAAGGCAGAGCCAGTGATTCCTCCCCCTGGAGCATTTGAACGCATTGCTCACTTGGACCAAAACTGCCTACGTAAGGGGGAAAATGCTGGGGAATCGGGCTCAGCACAGCTAGGAAAATGGCACAATAAGCAATAACAGTCCTTATTGTATGTTGGGGTAGGAACAAGACCTGCGCTGCTCTGGTTGGTTGGGTTTTTAAGGTAAACGTCTTAAAATGATGCTAGTTTGTGCTCTAGGCTGAAGCTGTGCCTGGGAGATTGTGTGATTATTCAGACAGATACTTCTGTATTTAATGCCAGTATAGAAAAGAGTACTCTGTGGCATTCAAATAAAGATTTTATGTAGAGGCTAAAGCTACAGTTCTTATTTGATAGATATTTTGGGGGTAACATTTATAGTGGTTGTACTGTTACACATACCATGGCCAGAGGTATTCAGAAGCGGCAGGGTAGTCCTGTTTTTAAGTACACCAGAGACAGGAGGGGATCCTTTTATTTGAAATAAATTAAGTAAGAAATGTTGCCTTTATTTTAGTGCTTTTAGGTAGAAGACTAATTAAAATGTATCTGTAAGTGCTTGTGATAGTATAATAATTTATCTAGGTATATTTCATAGAATCATAGTATCATAGAATCATCTAGGTTGGAAGGGACCTTTGTAGAGAATTAATTCCTCTGGTTTTCTTAGTAGGCTGAAAGCATGTCTGTGTTTGTCTGTAGCTGCGTGTGCACGATGTTACATCCAACAGTGATTCCCCAAGCAATGCAGAATAAGGTTGTTCTTAAAAAGGCAACTTCTTTGATTCCATATGATTTTCTGAATTTGTCATTGTCCCCAAATACATGCACTCAGGAATGAGAAATTAATCTTTTATTTCTTCGACAGATGCCACTTTGCTTTTACATTTTAGACATTTTGTGTCTCTCTGTAATCACCCTGTCTTTACAGACACTGTGATTGAAAGGCTTTCATTCTCTTTTTTAACGTGCTTTTTTTCTCATGAGTCATCAGTGAGGTTTACAGTGATAGGAATTTAGAGTCATAACAACAAAGATGTCAAGTCAGCATCAGGAAAGCTCATGCCAGAAACATCCCATCCCACGTCATGAACGCTGTGCTCCAAGGGAAAACTTCATCTTCTCAAACGTGGTTTTCTGATTGAGTGTGTCTGTGTGTCTGAGAAAAATAAAGTGCTTTTGCAAAAAACCACACAGTTCTGTTTTCTGGGTGGTAGTCTAGTTGTGCGCTGGGATGCACACAGGGGTTTGGCCCCAAATTTAAGTTTTGTGAGCAGACGGTAGAACTTAGATGAACAGAAGAAATTTAATAACAATTACATCTGCAAAACTCGATTGCTTCGTTGATGAGAATAAATAGGAAGTGGGTCCACCTAGGAAAAATGCTGAAATTGTAACAGGCGTCTGCAATTCCTGTCTGAAATCCCCACAACGTTTAAAAATACTAAATGACTAACCCTCCCGTAATCTGACATTTCAGAACTGTGTAAAACAAGCGCTTTGCACGCTTCTTGGTGTTTCCAGTGAGCTCTGTCGGCTTCAAAGCCCCGCACCCCTGAATAGCCAGGAGGAGTTTTCAGTAACAGGACAGCAGAGAGGAAGGGAAGAACGAGGTGTTACTGTAACTTGTCCTCTAGTGTGGGAAGCCCAGGCTGAAATGGCTGTGTCCCAACGCTGTTTTGACCCAGCCTCTGTCATCTACCACAGACACACATTCCCATGCAATCCAAGAACTTGCTGCTGATGGTAAAACTGGCAGGTCCCGAGGGAGCCAGCGCTGTGGTGAGAAAGAGCCAGGCTTGTGGATGAGCAGAGCCATCTGTGTGTGCTTCTCTTCTCCCAGATTTTAAGACCTGTTTTATTTCCTACCGAGGTAGAGCAATGAAGCTGGTGAGGGGTCTGGAGAGTCAGTCTTATGAGGAGAGGCTGAGGGAGCTGGGGTTGTTCAGCCTGGAGAAGAGGAGGCTGAGGGGAGACCTTATCACGCTCTGTAACTACCTGAAGGGGGGTGTAGAGAAGCGGGGGTCAGTCTCTTCTCCCAAGTCACAGGAGATAGGACAAGGGGAAATGGCCTCAAGTAGCACCAGGGGAGGTTTAGATTGGATATTAGGAAACATTTTTCATGGAAAGGGTTATTAAGCATTGGAATGGGCTGCCCAGGGAAGTGGTTGAGGAACCATCCTGGAGGTGTTCAGAAGATGGGTTGACATGGTCCTCAAGAATATGGTTTAGTGGTTTTTTTTATTGCCTATTTCTTATTTATTTTTCTTGCCAGAGTTAGGTTGATGGTTGGACTAGATGATCTTTAAGGTCCCTTCCAACCTAGACGATTCTATGATTGTATGATTCTATCTTGGCACTGGTCTTTGCAGCGTGTTAATTGCTGCGTGGCTCTTACAATTCAGAGTGCAAGAAGAGGAGAATGTTACCTGTGTGCTTTCACCATGTGGTGAAACTAGGCAGGAGCTCACCTGTGCTGTACGTGCTTGGCTGGCTGGTTTGCAGGAGCAGTAGGTTGAGGAGGATAATAATAAACTAAATAGCTTACCCCCATGGGGTTAGGAAGGCGACAGCAGCATTGCTGCTAGGAGGTTTCTGCATGCCTGGTCAGAGAAATGAGGTGAGAAAAGAGCAACCTTCTGCACGTTGTACTGGAAGTATGATGCAATCCCCAGGTGAACTTAAAAGCGCTCACAGGAACTAGTTCTTTTGTAGCCTTGCAAACAGACTAACCACCTTGTTGGTGCCCTGTCTGCTCCACCCCACCTCCCCTTCATTACTTTGGGGGACGTTCACGAAGATTTCATGGTTCTTTTTGGAGAGATAAATTCACAGATAATATAAGAAACTATTTGTCAGTTGTTAAGAGTATTGCATATGCTTTTCTGTGCCTTTTTTTTTGCCAATGCATATTGGAGCTGACGGAAGATAAAATTCTTTTTTTTTACCCAGAGGTGGAATCCACGAATATCTGACGTTATTACCAGCAGGGACTGGGAAACTCTTCCTGCAATGATGGGCTCGGCTCAGTCTGCAACGTTGGTCTGTTGGCTGCGTTTCTGGCCTGTCTCTAGGCTGCTTAGGAAAGTTTCTGGGCTCTGCAGAAGGAAAACCGATTCCTCCAGAATGTTTTCCCTGTGTTTTTTTGTGTTGCTGAAGGTCCTTTCTGATCTGCACATGCCTGAAGGAAGGGGATGGGTGAGGGCTTTTCCCCTGGTCCTGCTCCTTCCCTGGGCTGGTTGACCACCCTGGGAAGAGGATTGTGCAGACAGTAACAATCACAGAGTGATCAGTTTGCAAACACCGAGACTACAACATGAGTAATTGTTTTTACATTTATTTTTAGGCTATGATTAAAATGATGCAAGGTGTGGCCTAAAAAGGAGCCTTCAGACCCTCTGCAGCAACTCCCCGAGTTAGGTGTCAAAACAGTTTTAGGGGTTTAATCTCTAAAAGCAATCTGTTTTGCCTGCTCTGCTTTCAGAACCACTAGAAATGCCGGCATCACACGTGTATCTCTTTAAATATCTTTTAAATAGTGGTATTTTGAGGTGGGCTGTGTATGCCGTGCTTTTTTAAACACAAACCACAAGTTTTCATTTTACATGTATCAATTTTGTGTTTGGTTCTGCTTCAAAGGTCAGTATCCATAGGATCATTCCGTCTGAAGTGAGCTATTCAAGCACTTGAGGTCCCAAATGTAGGTGGGCTTCAGAAGTAAGAGAAATATTTCCCCCCACAACTTGTAAGCTGGAAGTCTTTATTTTTCTGTTGTTGAGGGAGGCAATTGCAACTGTGTTTTACCAAAATATGGAAGAATGTGAAATGTTAAGAATTACAAATTTTTAGGTAAAATTATGAGAGTAAAAGGCTTAAATGTAAGCATTCCTTTTTCAGCCCTGGTACCTGCATCGTAGCAATATGGAACTGGACCCTTGGT